GTTTTTCAGCTTTGGTGGGCTCTTTCTTAGCAGCATCTTTCTCTTTTGTAGACTTGCTGGTTTTTGAAGCATGTGGTGAGCTGCTCTGCGATCCCTTGTCTCCACTGTCCTTAAATTTCTTCTGATCAGTATTCTTGTTTGCAGGTCTCCCACTTTTTTCCTCCATCTTGACTTTTGAGGTCTCCACATCATCAGCAGCCTTCTTATTGGTTTCATTTTTCTCCACTTTTTGCTTTGATTTTGAAGTATCTTTGTCAACTTCTTTTTTGGTTTTCTCATTCTTAGTGTCCCTAGATTTTACGGATTGTTTATCCTTCTCGTCTTTTCCCTTGGGCGGTGATGGCTCATGCTTAGATCTGTCATCATTCCTAGAACTTGGCTTTTCTCGCTCTTTACTGCCATCTCTGGCCTTGTCATTGTCTTTAGCTTTTTGTCTGTCCTTATCTCTAGAAGAAACATCTTTGTCTCTTTTTCTTCTCTGCTTCTCTTTTTATTCCAGCTTTCTCTTTTTCTTTGTCTCTCATTTTTGTATCAGAAACCCTTTCCTTATCTTGAGAGGATGATGATGTTTTATCTGCTTTTGAGTTCTTTTCAGAGCCAAATTTGTCAAGGGATTTTTCAGAGCTGGATTTGTCTGATGACTTCTCAGAATTTCCTTTGTCATTTGATTTCTCCACAATTGGTTTTTCACTTTTTTCAGAACTGATTTTATCAGACGTTTTTCTCGGAAACTGACTTCTCAGATGATTTTTCCTTTTCTCTGGAATGTCTGTCTTTGCTGTGGGACTTGTCCTTTCTATCTTTCATCTTATCTCTTTCTTTGCTTCTATCTTGGAACTTGGCATCCTTGTCAGAGGCCTTCTTTTCACTCTCTCTGTTAGAGACCTTTTTAGTGGGTTCAGGAAAGCTTTTCTTGTCTCCACGCTCTGCACTGCCCTCTTTAGTGGGTTTCTTTTCAACTGATTTCTGTGACTTACTTGTCGAGGATGCTGAGGAGGAACTTTGGGTTTTCTTAACAACTTCCTTGGTCTGAGACGAGTCCCCTGTAGAATCTTTGTTGTCATTTTTAGATGGAACTGAGTTGGATTTTTTCTCCTTTCCTCCCTCTTTCCTGTCTTTCTCCCTATTACTACTACTGTTAGTGCTGTCTTTAGTTTGCAGTTTGGGTTTCTTAGTCTCAGGTTCAGAAGGTTTCACAACATTCACAGAGGCAGAGTTTTTAGAATCTTGAAGGCCACCTGCAGAGTTAGACACATCTTTTGGTTTCTTTTCCCTTATTCTATTTTCCTCCTTCATTTTGGCGCTGTCATCATTAGCCTTCCTTTTTCCCAGAATGCCACTGTTCAGTCTGGGGTCGGGCCTACTGGGCACGTCCTTCTTCATAGGGGCAGCAGACAACTCCCCGGGAGTTTCCGTGGCAGCAGTCTCCTTGGCAACACCAAGAGGAGCTGGTGTCCTATTACTAGATGGCACCGATTCTTCTTTCACTTTACTGGTGGCTGTGGCAGCATGGGCCGTTGTCTCCACAGAGGTGCCCCCAGAAACTGTTCTCCCTGAATGTGACAAATCTCCACCACTGTTAAAAGCCGATGTACTGTCCTTTCTTGGCAAGGCTGGTGACGCAGCTGCCCCCACTGGTGCCGCAGACATAACAGCTGTGTCAGTTTTCAAAGCGTACAGAGCTGACCTTTCCTTCCTGGGATCTGAGGGAGAGATATCCTTCTTGAGGATGGGCTTCAGGGGGACTGGCTGTTGTTGGGATGTGGACATGACCTGTGGAACTGTAGGGGGCGTCTGGATCTGCAGCTGCTGTTGTTGCTGCTGAGCTGCTGCCTTCAAGGCAGCGTAATCCGTGACTGGTTTCCAGCCGGGAGCTGTCATGCCTGAAAAGGAAGTTTAAGTGCATTTACATTTACCACATGAAATTAATTTTAGTAAATATCTTTGGAGTCTGCTTTACTTGGGCTCTTATTAAATTTTACTTCATTCTTGATATCTGAAACATTTTTGGTCATTTTCTTTGATTAGCAACTAGTTTAAGTCCCCAACTAGACGAAAAAATACTTAAATTTTCAAATCCTTCCAATTTTCATTACAAACATTATCAAACAGATGCATCCTAACCAGTAAACAACAATACGAAAACTTTCTTTTTGGATTTTGGAAAATAATTCAGGCAAGACTTTTTGTAATCTTTTCCAAACAATTGCATTTATGCCTATTTACCTGCAGAAGTTTGCGGCTTACATGCTCCACCAGGTGTCGCTGGTGTACTGGGTGTCAGAGGGGTAGAGGGTGTGGAGACGCTGGATGTCGACATGGGTGTCACAGGTGATGAACTGGCCAGACTCGGAACACGCGTGCCTGGCAAGGGCTGTGCCGCTGCTTGGGTCAAGTTTGGTAACTCCTTTGCCGCGCCTTTGGTTCGAAACCCAGGTTTTTGCTGGAGCATGACGTCAGTGGTTTCTACCATATTACCCACCACTGCAATACTCTCCCCAACCATGGACTTAGAGATGTTATCTTTTGGCTCATATTTCTCGTGAATCTGTTCCAGCCTTCGGGAATCCTGGTCAAATATACTTGACCTAGACAACAATGTCTTTACTATGTCCGAGGGTTCGACTTTGTCCGCAGTCACAGGGACCATGGGGACGGCTGACAACGAGTCCCCGCGTTTACGAATTCTATATTTATTATAATCCACTATAGGTGTCACTGTTGGTGGGGTAGAAGAGTCCAGAGTTCTTGTTGAAGTTGATAATGACACAGATGACTGTAAACTGGATGCCATGCTCAGTTTTTCATCCAAGGCTCTTATACGCTCCTCCAGAGATGGACGGTTTGGGGAGTTTGGCGTTTCCAGATCAGACAAGTCAGAATTATCAGAATCCCTGGCAGGCGAAGTTTTTGTAATTGTCTCGGCTGCCACATCATTCACATTAACACTAGAAGCATCAACTATCTCTGTATTCTCAGTTTCCATGGGAGTTTCAATATCTCCATCTTTTTCCTTCAAAGCTGTTGTTGAAGTTGCTGTCAATGAATCCGTGCCAGAGGGCACACTGACAGTGTCAGACTGTTCTGCCTGTGTGGTGCCAGGTAAAACAAGAGGCTGGTCCATAGGGGGAGCCACTGGTCCAGCCAGCGACTCCGCGTTAGTCGTAGAACTAGAAACAATTTTGTCATCAGTAGGTGTAGCGTTAGACAGAGAATCGTCAGTTTTTGTGAGGTTCGTCGAGGGTTGAAACATTTGTATTGCTTTTATGCCTGGCGAAAAGGGAGGTGACTGGAGTTTAGCAATTCCTGGTGAAATTTGTGGCGATTGTATTTTTGGGGATGATATTGATTTGGGCGAGGCTTTGGGTGACAGAGAATGTTGTGACTGAAGTGCAAAACTTGGGAGCGGCAGAGAAAGAGGAAAATCACGTTTTAAATATTCCAAGCGAGCCTCCTGTATACTCCAAGCATGGATATCTGCTGACGCTGTAGACTGACGCTTTTCTGTGACACGCCGTTGACGTAATTCTTCCATTTTTCTACGTACATCCACCTGTACAGTATCTCCTTCAAGGCTGATTAGCGGAGTTTTAGATTTCCTTGAAAGCATATCCATATTAGAATCCAAATTTTTTCGCAGTGGAGACTTCGAAGTTGAACTTTGCTTTGAGTCCCCTTCATCTCCACTGCTGCTAAATATATCTTCCGTCCTTTTCAGTCTGTATGAACGTTTGGCTTGTAAAGACTCCTGCTCTGTTAAATCTCCAGTTGTTTTTAACCTACGTTTACGAGATAAAAACTCTGACGGTATATCCTTTGGAGAGTTTTCTGGTCCCATATCGAACAAATCCTCATCCAAGGATTTTGACTGGCTGTTGTCTCCATGACCTCGGCGAACCTGATGGTGTGACATTCTGCCTAAAGTTTTCTTTTCCATTTCTTTCCGCCTTGCTTCCATTTGCTTCCTAAAGCTCTGTGTTGAATCAATTGGCTTAAATTTAAAAGGATCCAATGGTTTAGTCTCCTTTGGGTGTTGTGTTTCTGACAACTGAATGATTTGCTGCTGTGACATTTGTAGTTGCTGCTGAGAATGTTGTTGTATATCCTTATTCTCCTCCTCAAGTGCCCTTGCTGTTTCCAGTATAACTTTCCTATAGGATAACTTTGGTCCACGTTCCAAGTCAAAAACATCCTCCAAACGAGGCTTTTTTGTCAGGCGCTTCCCCTCTTCATCCTGCTGAGAGTCACCGTCACTGGCACTCCCGGTTTCGTCCAGTTGTTTGATGAGTTGAAGCAGTTGTTGTTTCTTACTTTGTAACTTGTTCAGATCAGAAGAGGCGCCTTTTGCCACCTCCTCTTTCCCTTCCTCGGCGTCAGAGTTGTCATTACTGCTCTCAGAGCTTGAGTCAGAACTACTTCCACTGTCGTCCTTGGATTTGGAATTTTTATCTTTGTGCAGTGAGGCCTGTCGCTGTTTGTCGTAATCCTTGGTATGTTTTACAATCCGTTCATCACACAGTAATGCTTTGGTCCTCTCTCCCTTAGACGTTTTGTCCGTGTCGCAGTTATCACCATGAGTGTCCGACACGTTTTTACTCCTTGACCCGTGACTTCCTGTAGAACTCCGAGAGTACTGACGCTGTAGTTTGCGTTGTGATTCAACGTCACTTGGTCTATCACCCGTTTTGTGAACCACCACTTCAGACTTGAGACTTTTCTCAACATCCATACTATCCATAGAATCATATTTACCATGGCGAGTTCTCATATCAACATCGCTGTGTTTAGTCCGATGTGATTTTTGAGACAGTTGCTCCGATTTGGCAGAGCCTCTATCTATGTCATACTTCCTGTTGCCTAAATCAGTGGGGTCATGACCTTCGCGTTTTATATGGCTTCGAAGATCAGGATATTTCCCATAATTCCACTGCGAAGTTTCATAATCCATAGGACTTTCCTGTCCACCTCTCGAATTTTGAGGTAGTTCGTCTCTTGTCGGTGTAGGCGGTGTCGCAGGCCTACTAGACCTGTCCTTATCGCGTGATTTATCTCTCGGGCTTAGGCTCCGACTCCTGTTGCCCGCGGGACTGGCATGACTGCTATACTCGCTACTTTGTGGACTCTGTCCAGGAATACTGTCTCTTGAGCGTACACGTCTCTCATCACGGTCACGAGAGCGTTTTTCATGTGGACGGAATTTTTCCTCAGTTGGCCGGTCTTTATGTTCTCTGCGGGATTCTCTGCTGTCAGACTGGCACTCAGTGTCTCTGCTGAATCGATCAGCATTGTGCTCGTCGTATCTATCGTCAAATCTGGCACTGCCATGCATGCTACCCTCTGATGGAGGATAGCCGTGACCATACGGACTCAAACTCCGCCGTTCAAAATGTCTGTCTCTATCCCGCGGTGGCGGACTTAGACTGCCATGGCGGTCACGCTGTGAATACCCATAATCCCTTAGCTCACTTTCATAGTCATCAGTGAAGCTCCGTTGACTGCCAACTTCATCAAAATGCCTGCAAAGTACAAAAATAAACCGAAAATAAAAGTTAAGTACCAGTAATACATGTAAAGTTCATTCAAGTTCAGTTCTTATAAACCGCACTACATGTGTCTCAGCGCAGTTTACTATAGATGTCTGGTGAATGTTGGTCCTGATACAGACTGGATGCTGACGTTCTGACCTCCTTGGGGAGGAAACAGCTCTTATTCTAAGCATATACCTATCTCTAATCTGCTGCTTTCAATTTAGCTGCTGTGGTGCTGTTCTCCAGAATGATATAAATAAGACTCCATGGAAAGCTTCTATTTTGAAGCTAACCACAAAATGTTGACAGTCAAGGATTTACTCTTCCCGGAAACTAAAGTGTGTACTATAATACCAAAACATGACACTTCTATTGATCTTCTGCATGGAACTGTCATCTTTGCATAAGTAAGATGAGCTGATACAATTTTCACCAAAGATCTTTCAACCAAATGTCTTGAATTCAAGATAAATCCAAATTGGTAAAAAGCAGTCAATATTGGTCTAAAAATTGACGTTTTGGTTTTCTATTACTACATAAAACAAGTGCTATGCTTCACAAAACTGAATTACTACTGAATTATCTTGGGTCAATGAAGACAAAAATTTTAGTCTTGAATAAATTCCAAAATTTTTATTTTCTGTGGTGTTATACGGCCTGTGTTGAACCTAGTAAATCCTAAATTCTTGATCATAACACCCCATTCTCATAGATTAGATCGACCTACATTGGATCGACCTAACTCCCTGGGGGTTCACGCTAAATAGCTGTCAGCCGGGCGGACACGAAAGTTAATTACCCCTTAAAGCTTGTAGTAGGCGGGGACGGACACTTAAGGGGGATTATCTGACAGTGATCTAGTGAGACTCCCCACGGTGATAGATCGATCTAAAAGTTGTGAGAACAGAGCCTAAGGGCATTTTCAACAGTTTCAGGACAGAACCTTTTTTTTTTTAACTTTCTTTCTTTTGATTTTTATTTAATTTCAAAAACAGTTTCTCACAAGGACGATTACCTTCTTCTGTCCCTGAAGTCGTCATGGAAACCAGAACCTGGGAAATCTTCAGAAAAGCTTCCCCTGCTGCCTCCTCCTCTGCCACGGAAATTCCGAGAATTTGTCCCTCCTCCCCGCGACCGTGATCCGCCGGAAGTGAAGGTGCTGCCCCGCCCCCGCCCTTCAAACATGTCCTGACGCATGGCTGGGAATGCTCTCGGGTCTCTGGAGATTAAGAAATCAGAAATGTGCAGAAAAATGAGGAAAGTACGGCTGATAAAAATAGCTTAATTTTTTTTTTTTTCATAAAGACAGCCTCCAAGAACAAAACAAATGTCAGAAAAAAGGAGTAAATTTGATAAATGGGATAGCATCCAAAAATATAGTAAAATATCAGAACAAAGGAGATGTGAAAAATTATATTCAGAGAACTACTGTTGAAAAAATGATATAAATACATAAAATAGCCGATTCAGGTGTGGCTGCAGACAAACAACATCCATTGGTCCTTCATAAACAAAAAAATTGCATTAAGAAATAAATAAGTAAAATCCAATTCAAGTTTTAATTTATGACCAAGGCATATCTTATCCAAAACCTGACAAAAATTAAATTTGTCCACTTTAAACTTCTCAGTTTCAAACATTTGTATACTCTTATGTGATGCAAAATATATTCAGAGTAATTCAGTTCTTGAATAAAGAAGCCTCTTGAATATCTGGTGAAAGTGAGACTGGAAGTGAAAGTGAAGCAGCTCACCTTGGTTCCTCATATGTAGGAGTGACAGGAAACTTTGGATTGGTCCTGATTGCCCTCTCGTCCGGGCGCTCTCCGGGACGCAGCTGCCCCGAGCGCTGCATCTTGTCAAAGAATGAGGTCTGGCAGTCTCTACTGGCAAAGTCAATCTAAAGGGAACAGAATGTTGGCAGTCAATTTAGACGATCATCATGAAAAATCTTATGGGTGAAAATTGTAAAAAACAAAAATCTTGAAAATTTAGGTTGCAATTTCTTATTGCACTAAGACCATATGGGAAAAAAAATGAAATAAAGACCATAAATCATAAAATAAAGCATTATCCTAAAATCTTGCGCCCATACAAATCCACCTAACAATATGGACCTTAAGTTTACTCTCTACTAGCTTGGCTTGTAACCAAATCAGCATAACCTTTGATGACTATGTTGTTTGTGCTTCAGCAAGCCAGAATCCATGATGATCATCTCTGAATCTTACCTGGATCTTCTTCCCTGCCAAAGCACGTCCCCGCATTTCACTCACAGAATGCTGTGCAAAGTCCAAAGTATCGAAATAGATGAGTGCGCGTCCGATGTGTTTGTCCAACACGGCGTGACTTACGGGTCCGTAACGCCCAAACTGGCGACAGAGGAACTTTTCCGTGACGGTGTCTGCAACGCCATCTATCCAAACACAGGTCGTGGGCATGCTCTTACCAAAGCCAAGCTGGTGGGAAAATAATAGGTTATATTTCAATATATGGACTAAAGTTGAAAAGCTGTGTCTGATGCTTGTACTGTTTAATAAATCTGATACTACTAGATGCATATATAGGAAAGTGGTATAATACTCTCTCCAAGTAAAATACATATCTAACTGCCAAATAGAAGTACCTTTCAAAATAGAAAATAACTTACATAGTGAAAGAAGTGTTTATGTCATCAAGTTGGATACTAGATGTTAAAAGTAAAGTTTTATCAAAAATTCCCCAATGAATGGTGAAGAAATTATCTAAAATAGATTTCCCATATTGCCCCACTTTAAAAACTTACCTCCTAGATAGAGAAACATCTCATTTATTTCATCATGAGCAAAGATTACAAAAATATTACAACTGTAGAATATACAAAATATACATTTAAATAATTTAAAAAAACTATAAATCATGAATATATTTTATATATATATAGTACTTCACCTTGATCTTATTGGGCCCGATGCTCTCTCCGTCCATTTTCTTCAGAGCTTTCACTACACTACTGATGTCAGAATACTGAACAAAGGCATAGGCCGTTACTGCTCCCTGTTTCTTGATGTCTATATCCTAGAGCAAAGAACATTTGTATGGTAATATCATGTATTCTAGTTTATTTTCACCAAAGATAATTTGGTACTACTGATGTCAGAATACTGAACAAAGGCATAGGCCGTTACTGCTCCCTGTTTCTTGATGTCTATATCCTAGAGCAAAGAACATTTGTATGGTAATATCATGTATTCTAGTTTATTTTCACCAAAGATAATTTGGTAGTAGTAACATTTGTATGGTAATATCATGTATTCTAGTTTATTTTCACCAAAGATAATTTGGTAGTAGTGCTTTTTTATTTCTATTATTCTATTTTAATTTCATTATTATTACCCCTTTTTTTTGGTGTGTGTGTGTGTGTGTGTGTGTGTGTGTGTGTGACACTTGCCCATTAGTCAATTCATGAATATTAAAACATTCTATTATCTCTATGTTTAAGGCAAATGTTAAACATTTCATTATTCTGACTACATTATTATTGCTTTAGTCAAAAAAACTTGATATTGATAAAATCAAGTGGCCAAAAAATGTGTAATTTCCCGAGACATTCTTCACACGAAGCATCTTATTTGGTTACACACGAATAACCTAGACAAAAAAAGTTTCTTTGCGGTATATCAAAGTAATTAGTGGCCACTTTTTCCACAGACTTCTGCCTTTGGTTTTTCTGAGAACACTCAATTCCTGTAATTTACCACACATTTCCTCAGTTTACACAGCCCTTTTTTCCCCACAAATACAACCTTTTACTTAAAATAACTCACTATTATTTCACCGAATTCCTTGAAGATCTCTTTCAGTTGTGTAGGAGATATATCTTTCTCCAGGTTGCCAACAAAGAGCGTTCTTGTCGCCTTCGGATGAAATTCATCTAACTCAGCCTCTGGGGGGCGGAACTCACTGTCTTCTACTTCTGAAGTTCGACAAAAATAATTTTTTCATTCTCAGAATCTGTGTTAAAATCAATCAATCAGTTTATCAGTAAACAACCAACCAACAGAAAGGCCGAAAGTAATAATAGAAAACTGTGTTCAGTCTGTCTGGAAGATTTGCACCAATTTCAAGAATTGACATTTGGATCAGCTAATAGTTTGGCAAAATATGCTTTAGTCTCACACACTTTTTAATAACTGTCAATCCAAACATCAGGCTTTTTTCATTTCATTTTATTTTTACTTTTTTAAGTTTTCAACATGTATGATACTGGTCTAGTAATTGATTAGTCTCTCATCCAATCAACCAAATGCAGAATTGGCTAAAAGATGGCCTCACTTACCGTAACCCGGATGACTGGTGACGGAAATCTTGGAGCCAAAGAAAGTCATTTCATTGGACGCTTCCTGAGCCTTCTTAGCATCTTCGCTCCTGACAACATAAAAACAACATCACATCATCATATCAAAGGGATCATGCTCAGACCCAATCATACTAACTGTGGATCGATCTATCTCCACAGAGATTCTCACTAAGTTGCAATCAACTCAATCACCTTAGATGTCTGTCACACCTACTGAAGCTGCTAGGGGGTGATAAATTATTGTTTAGCAGATTCAGTAGGTGTGCCAGACATCTAAGCCACTTAAACAGAAAGCACTTCAGTGAGAAACCCCTCAGAGAGGTATGGGAACCCTGCCAAAGAGTTATTGATTCAATCAGTTGTAGTTTCAATTAAACAGTGCATGAAAAACTGACTCTCACTCTGGACACTTTTATGAAGGTGGGAGAAATCTGAGACTGGATCTTGGTGGGTTAATTGTCACCTACCAACTGAGACATAATGTTTAGTTCCTTGATCACCTTGGGATACATTTAGTGCAGTGCATAATATCTGTCTTAAAATTTTGAAATAGAAGACAAACTTGCCAATTTGGAAGAACAATATAAAACTCAAAATCTGTTACGATTGGTTAAAAATACACCAAAGCCCTAAACATTCTGAAATGAATACATATTGCATATTGTGGAATGAATTATTCAAAGAAAACACTTCACAAGGCACCTGTCATTTGTTCACTTGTCAGGTACATTAAAAGATGGTGTCCTGTTTGGTAATGCCATCCAGCCACAAAAAGCTGAGAGCTTTTTAAAAATATCTTAATAATGAGAGTAAAAAATTTAATGACGCAAACTAATTCAGTGCTGGTATGAAATCAAAGTAAGCAAATAACTACAGTCCTGGAGAAGAAGGTTTTTCATTGTCATGAAAACCTGCATACCATTACATACAGAAAGTGACTGAATGCTTGTGAAACAAATGAAAGAAAAAAAACCCACAAGGGAGACAGAACAGCAAATAGATACACTCGCCAGTTTAGCCAAATGCTAAAAGTAACGTCAGTTGGCTAAACCAAAAAGGGTTAATTTGACTTGTTTTAGTCAAATTTAAACCATTTGGAGACAAAAAATGATGAAAAAGTAGTGATTTGGCTAAGTGAAGACATTTGCCAGTGCTACCCCAGAAATAGCTACAATTGTCAAACAACTTACTTCTTGAAACTGACGACAGCAAATCTGGATTCCGTCTCTCCCTGAATCACGACGGACGTGACCTTCCCGTGTTTCTTGTACGCATGAAACAGCCCGTCACGCAGACTGGTGTCTAAAATACAACACAGGAATCAGATTAAGTCAACAGAAAAAAAAGACAGTTGATACATATCTTCTACCAGTCTAAGTGACACCCCTTATTCAATATTGTGTAAAATCCTACATACAAGTTATTAAAAAGAAAAAAAAAAATTCATGACCTATTTCCTCCTTAAGGTCAGGATCAGAAAAAGTATGTCATTAATTTCAGTTGATTACGCTGTCACATAACATGTCATTCTACGATCAATTCCCCCATCCTGCTCCGTGCCACGTTCTCACGAATACACGCACATGGAATACAAGCCCAATCATAACTTCTTTCTTCTGCTTTTTAATCTCCACTGCTGTGTAGATTTGTATTATCCCAAACATTGCATATTAACTGGATATATGGTATTTGACTCTGTGATTCTGGCTGATGCTACTTATGTGAAACCAACACAAATAGGCGCCAACACGTTTATAATCCACTCTAGAGTATCCTCTGCATATAGCACTGTAGCACATCTCACATGTTTATTTTCATATCATCACTTTTTGTCTCCCTTGTTTTCTCTTCTTTCTCTCTGTCTCTATTACCCCATTTCAGGCCAGCTAGGAGATAGATGGCTTTTGAAAAGTACACGCCACTTGAGATTTTCTAATTTTAAATGTCGTTTCACCTTAACTGAGCCACTTCAACCTTCCACAGTCAATTCCATGTCCTATCTCTGAGTCACCTTTCTTTTCCTGTCAAAAAAGCTAATACTATTTATGAATGGCAATATTAATATCACCAACATCCACAGCCAGAGGGCTCAAGGTTTTCAGTGGCCGAAAATCTTAGTAAAATTTCTCAATTTTCATCCTGAGTAACAGCTTTAATACTCAGGAATAAACTGATGCATTGTCACATACTTGAACATTGTGTCTTGGGTCCTTAGTGACACGACAGTCAGACACAGGAATAAAGACAGTATATGTGTTGTATGTATAACAGGGTCCAGCATATCCTGGTCGCACCATAATCCCCCTCTAGATTGTGAAAATGAAGTCAGCCGTCACTAATAACCAACACACCAGGAAATAATTCCAGTTTTACTTTGCGGCCAAATCCCATGACTAGGAATTCTAAATAGCTTGTCTGGAGTTAAGTGAAATGCATAATTTATGCACAGAGAGGAACCTGCTTCACAAACAGCTCTCTTTTCTTAAGAGATAATACCTGACAAGACTTCCGCAATGACCTAATTCTCAACAGGATTATTCATCAGCGGCACATCCCTAACAGCTTGCTCTCTCTGCATTATTACTTCACTTCTTATTATTACTTCACTTCGTATTATTACTTTACTCCAGCTCAAGGGAATAACCCTATTACGCCATCTGCTGCTGTTACTGGGTGGATTACAACAATGATTTTCTAACGCTAATAGGGCTCCAGACTGGAAATATTACTGTAATCACCATTAGGCCTTGACGCAAATCTAAGGCACACAAGTGGAGAATGACAGGCAGAGTGAATCAAACTGCAATTTCTTAAACAGTCATTGACTTTATTCTAAGATTCAACAAAAATGGCAGGAAAGCAAAGGGGGGGGGGAATTGCAATAAGGACACAGACTCCTTTTTCTGTTTGTTCCATGTCTTAGCTTCAAGATGGCGTTTCAACACAGCATCTTCCCTGTTATGAACCAGACAACATATTTCACTTAAAGTCGACTACTAACTGACTTCTTCTTAGGTCAAATGAAAATGAAATATGGGGCTTCAGGTTTGATTGTCTTTTTTTTTTTTTTTTTTTACTGAAGTCCTTTTATCGAAATGAGATCTAATTCAAAATTTTCTGGGCCGATAATAAATCATCCAAGAAATAGAGTTTTAATTGTTAAAATTCTCTTTTTTTTCCAAGATAAAATGTTTAAAGTCCTTCTGTCCTGAGTGAAATATTGAGAAAATCACAAGCACATACAATTTTCACCACTGATAAATGCTCTTAATGATTTCCTTTATTATTATTTTTAAAAGGCCATATATCAGAAATAAAAATACTCTTCTTGTGTGTGTGCATACGCATGAGTGTTCCTGCATGTGCGTCAATGTTTGTGCATCCCCCGTTCATGCTACGTTACCTGTAGAGCGCAGAGGCAGCCGTGTGATACAAATCCCTAGATTTTTCCTCTCTCCTCCTGACTCACTCGTCGTCTCATCTTTTACCGACGCAGATGACGGTACCACTCCCTCTATCTTTGACGCTAGTTGCGACCTTCGAGCCTTGCTGCTACTTGGACTGAAATACCAAACAAGAAGAGATATACATACAGCATCAAATCTATACTCTGTGGTTATATTGTAAGTTGTCAGAAAAACATTGAATGATTCATCATATCATATTATACCATGTCATTACAATCACCGTAAAAGCCCCAGAACACTAGGATAATTGATTTTTAGCCCAATGTGTTATAACGTAATGACAAGCTCTCCGTGAATTACACAAATATGATAAATATTACATGTATGTGATGAATCTTTGCTTCCACCATAACATGACTGAATAAATGTGGTCATTGGTCGAATGCATTACATCAAAAAGTACCTTGACATTCTCTTTCACTGTTAAGATACAAAATGTAAAACAAGTATTCAAGCTCTCTGCCTTTTAAAAAGATAATGCAACATAATCAGGATAGTTTAAAAATCAAAGAAGCTGCCTTCTTATTCACATACCAAAAATTCACTGCTGCAGAATCAACGTCAAGAAATCTGGACATTTCCTTCATAATTACAAAATAACTTTTTTTTTTCAAAGAAAAAATTGACTTCATAACTTCTTGTTGAAAAATGATCACAACAATCTGCCTCATAAAACCTGGTCTCATGCCAAGATGTCAGCAATAAAAGATCCAGGCCAGTAAAAGTTGAACCAATCTGTTCATTAAGTTTCCACTATTTCCGCACCTGACTTTATGATTTTCAGACCCTGGTGCCCCTAGAGAAGAGCAGGCTCAAATTTTTTTTGCCATTGTGTGATACAAATCTGACAAATAAGCATTGGTCTAATTTTAAATCCCTTTCAACTAACACCGCCTCTTGGAAATTCACATGACCTTGACCTTTGACTCTGACTGTCATTTTGACCTCTGACCTTACCTCCTTGACCTGCTGCTGCTTGAGCTCCCACTGGACATGCTAGACGATGTAGATCCCGCCGACCTCGACCTCGATTTCCGACTTCGAAACTGACGCGAATTGGCTGCATTTTTCTTGTTATTTGCCTTGGCGCTTCCCTGACTTTCTAAACTTGACTGCCTGGTTGCCGCGGAGCTGGCTTGGTTCAGTTTTCGCCGGTGGAACCTTTTAGTGTCCGCGTCGTCTGTGCGTTGTGTAGAAGTTTGGCCATCTGGAGTCCTGTAGGGATATAGTGAACATACTAATTAACATACTAATTAGCAGCCTACTTAATTGGATAATCAATTACGAATGGATAGGTTAAGATGCAGGGAACATACACAGTATCTGACTGCTGGTGCCAGATAAGAGAAGGTTATAAGAGGAAGGGAATTACTCTGAAATTAATTAATTATGGTTCCAAGAAACAATGTCTTGCTATTATGATCTGAAACGTGTTTTTTCATGAGTTTTGGAAAGCTTATTGGCTTGTGGCAAAATTGCACTTTTGCGAGTCCCTAAAAAGGATATATAGTATACTGATAATTTAGAATACAGTCATGTTTAAGCACTTAAAGTACAGATAGTTGATTTAAAGTGCACTACGTTGTTTATGTAGCAGGTGTTCTTGCGTTTTCTGCCCTTGATGTGAGTCATGGACGTAATTTTTCCAATCAATCTGAGACAGATTCATTATCAATAAAAATGAACTGTTTGTATAAAACAAGAAGAGGTGTATCTTTTGAATGGTAACGAATGTCCATGTCTTTCTTGTCATTTGACCTTTTAATTTTGGACAAAGAAATTTACAAGACAGATTTCAGTACTTTAAAGTGTTATTCTAACGCTAAATGTAAGACTGCAAGAGAAAACCCCATTATGCAAAAAAAAAAAAAAAAAAAAAAAAAAGGTTCATGATTTGATGTTGCTACAGACAAGGCAATCCATTATGCAAGTCAATTAACTAAAATTAATGGATTCTTAATCGATTTCCAGCTCTATTTTCAGACAATGAAGATGAGTCAGCCAGATGGGCCTTGGACTGATTAAAAAACAACATTGCTATCAAACTCATTTATTTTGTAACATCTGCCGAATATCTATCTTTAAGATTGAAAAAAAGTTCATATTAACAGCTGTAACTCCTCCCATTTACTACTTGGACCCAATCTCCTTTGAAAGTCGCTTTCGTAAAACAGCGAGTTTTTTCCCACAATGTTATGTAGTCATGCATTAGTCTTAATCATTCATTCATCTGTTTCTCTACCTTTCTCTTCATTAATCTTTCTATTTATACATTCACTTATTTACTTTTTATTCATTCATTCATCTGGTCTGTGTGTGTCTGTATCATTCTGTCCAAACATCCCTTTCGATCTACCTATTTATTTATTTATTTATTTATTTCTTTATTTATTTGAAAGGTGCTCTGAAAGAACAATTCAATACAGAGACATCCAGTTTCACATACCTTTGGCTGAAGTTTCTCTCACGTGGAAACCTCTCTCGCTCTCGTCCTCTCTCCCGTGTGAGGTGATAATCATCCGGGTACTCTAGTCTATCCTCTGAATGCGTCGACCTCTCGCTGCGGTTGCCATGCTCTGTCCTATCATCTGCCAGCCTAGATGGGAATAAAAGAATCAAAGTTGAGTAAGACTAATTTACCCAAAACTTTATCCATCATCAAAATTAGCATCAACTTGGTCTCAGTTTAGTGATAAAAGTGCCCGAGTTTGAATTAGGATGAACAGTGAAAGGATATGATTTATAAGAATATGAGATATAAAGGCAAATTTGAATTTCTGCATTTCTATTTTCTATTTTTTTTTTTTTTTTTCATTTCGAAGTATTAAAACTTATGATCATGATTAAAAACAGTGATTTTTTTTTTCACCCCAGAGCTTGTGACCTTTACTTATAGCCATGAACAGGTTTTATGCCGATAATGTGACATTTATTTTTTCACAACAAACAAGCTAACACAGCTTACGAAAATTGCCTACTTGTATGCAGGCATAAGCTTGAGACCTTCACCGCCATCAGAAATGGCATTTACATTTTTTTTTTTTTTTTACAATTTGTACTGAATAGGTAAGCTCAGATGATGAAAATTGCCCACTAGTACATGCAGGCAAGAGGTGCAACACAATCCGGTGGTATCAGCATAAAAAGCTGCTATATCATTCACAACAATATGTGACGTCAAACAGCTTTAATTATACTATGCTAAATACAAAACCACAAAGGCTTGAAGACTTCATGGTTTACTTAATGAGGGGGAATATGAAAAACTACCCTGGCTCTTCTTAAATTCTAGGTCTATAAAATTTCAATTTATGTTTCTGCCTCTTTGAAAGAATGTTTTGTATAGGGAATCACTCTGGGAGGACACATTGTTACACTGGGAGGGCGCATCATTAGTTTTGTGCAGAACTTCACTCAGGAGGCACAGAAGGTCGTCTCGTCAAACGTCATAGCATGACTTCTCAAAAAGTCCGACATCACCATTTATCAATAGCTGAAACTATATTGTTCTTACAAATTTCATAATGGATACAGGCATGGGGCAACGCAGTCACTTCCTATGTCATGGTTCGGATACATAATATTGTGTTGGATTAAACAGGGCTTAGGATAAACTCTGTAGATCATAGAAGCTTGGGATGATTTTTTTACGCTGCCCCACATATTAGTGCTAGGCCCATGGCAGAGCATACAATGCAGTTACTGCTAGTAATTGTAGGCTGTTGACAGAGGCAGTGAAATCTGTACCATAGTTCTTCCTATACTATTTATCAGGCATTAGCAGCATAATGAGGCTGCAAATAATGCAATATGACTGGCCCCTGTGCATATGCAGAGAGAAAGAGAGAGAGAGAGACCATACTTCATTCCAAACTATCAGACATAGCGACACAATGAGGCTTTGAATAATCTAACACAAAATGTGTGTGTGTGTGTGTGTGAGAGAGAGAGAGAGAGAGAGAGAGAGACTGTAACATTATACGTAGGCCAGCAAATCTTTAAGTAAAATAGTTGGTAAATCTCAAGAAAAATTATTCTTCTACATTCCATTCAAGACAATGTATGTCTAAAAAAAAATCTATTAGTATTCTTCTTTTAAAGATCAGCTTCAGTTTTACTGTATTGTATTATATTATGCTGTATAATGTATTGTACTGTGTTAACTGGTGGCAATTAATAATTCAAGACAATGTTGTTTTGGTAAAAATCTATACAAATATATATCCACTTCTGGAATAATATGACTACATCAGAATTCAATAATCTACAGAACAGGCATCAGTATAACAAAAGAATATTGACCTTTATACCTTTGTTCAAAAGACTCACTTTATTTAATATACTAGTATTTTGCCATTAAAGTTTCTGCATAAGCAGTCTTTCTAAAATATATTCTGCCCTCAAATTCTGCTGAAGCTGCTCATTTTATATGATGCATTTTATCCTAAACCTCTGCTTGAGTGGCTCACTTCATATGGCATAAATACATAGATAAATAGCAAAACAACCACCCAGGCATTAGTTTAAGAGGCTCAATTAATATGTGCTCTCCCATAAACACACATAGCTGTAGAAACTGCCAGTGCAGCAGCTGCTAAGGGCCAGTTATCGATTTTCCATCTGTTGTTTGCAAAATCCACATAGCCTACACTGTGGTAGGAATGTTTAATATGACCTCTGCCATGAATAGAGCTGCGGCAGGCAGGCGGCCATGAATATTCCTCTCACTAAAGGCAACTGGCTGCCAGTGGTACATATGAGACTGGCATGTTGCCAAAAACGCCGCTTTTATGACCTCACGCCTAAAAAGAATACAGACACCACATATTTGTCCTAAATTAAGTAACAGTCACGCAGAGACAGGTGAGATGTATTTTTACGTTGAGGCAGCATTGAGGGAGCGAGCCACCAAGCAGCAGTGGATCATTAGATATGCGGAACTGTTATAGGCTGACGCTGACTCAAAACCGCAAATGAGAAAGAAAGTGGCACAGAGAGCAGGTATTGAAGAATTGCTATGCAGTGTGACTTGATACATTAGTAGGGCCAGGTCTGCGATGACATAGCATTTCAAGGAGCAGAATCACATGTGTTAGGCAGAAACCATATTACTGATTTCAACACGCAAATGCTTAGCATAATGGAACCATCTAAAATTCCAATGCACATCAACTAAATAAAAGCCCAACCAATATTTTTGTAGAAGTTGCACAGGTATTTTCATTTAACTTATCGTTTCTCCAACCACACACTAGTTATATTTTCATTCTGAAAATAGAGACTTCACCAACTGAACTGAATGCAGTTAACAGAATAACAGTTATTTTATTCGACCCTTATCATAAATTCCGCCCTAAATAACCATCACCATCTTTTTTTCTCTTTTAAGTATTTCTTATATTTTTTATCTATTTATCTTTAATTTTAATCAAACTGTCCAGGGTTTTTTTTATATTCCCCTAATAAATGTTTCTCAATGTGATCTTCTGAACTTAGAATACCTTAATATATTTGCATACAGCTCCATTATTTATTATATATAGAGATTTGTATTTAAACAAGGAGCGTTGTTTTAGTACTGAATAGACATACCAAAATACCCTTCAGAAAAAAAAGGATGCCATTTTTGCCAAAACTTCCATAAATCATAGCGCTAAGATATATTCATCATCTTCCACCAGGGGAGTGCTAAAGACGGCTTGCTTTCCTTTATTAGCGCCATATGGAGCAGCTGACGGTGCTCATAAATATTTGCAACACCTGGGTTCCCTACACAAAGACTCTTAGTTCTTCTGTGTAAACCTTAGTCTGCTAATATCCGACAGATCATTTTGAAATATTAGTCTGCTGATATTAGATATATTATTTTGAAGTTTTAGTCTCCTAATATCGGATATATTATTATGAAGTATTAGTCTGCTAATATCCGACAGATCATTTTGAAATATTAGTCTGCTGATATTGGATATATTATTTTGAAGTTTTAGTCTCCTAATATCGGATATATTATTATAAAATATTAGTCTGCTAATATCGGATATATAATTTAGAATTTTTAGTCTGCTAATATTGAATAATTTATTTTGAAATGTGAGTCTGCTGATATCTGACAGATTATTTTGAAATATTAGTCTTCAAAATTTAAGGAACGTTTGACCCACAATAAATATATCTGGGTTATGTGAATGGGTCATTTACGCCACTGAGAGTGAAAAATGTCAAGGTATTTGAAGGGTATTTGCACAACATTAAGAAAGAAAGAAAGAAAGAAAGAAAGAAAGAAACAAACAAACTAACAAACAAAGGGGAGGAAGAAATAGTTTTTAAAAAATCTTCCTTTAATCTCGTAATTTTCACATACTAGTAAATTACTTCATGTTTAAAATTTTACTTTATCAATTTTCAAATGCAGATGAAGCTGTGTATTATAAATAAAGCCAAAAAGTAAAACTGCCTTCCACTTATCGTGTTTACAATGAAAGTGCACGGTGCCGGCATCGGCGACGACAGACGCAGGTGATGGCAATATGTACAGACACATCTGTGTCTGTATATAAAAATACTTGTTTTTAATTGACTTTGTAACAGTTTTTAAGGATTTTTATGAAAACCTTGTTTTCTCTCTCCTATTTCTTGCACCCAAGGCCGCAACCCCCAAGCACCCCACAAACCTCGCGGGATAACAACCTGCCCCAAACCTACTGTCGCTGCGTATTCCTTCCAAAAACAGCCACCACAGAAGAGGAAAGCGAGCAGACCGAAGCACCCTGTTTTTAACCACAAGTACAGTCATGAGGTGCACACACGTTGCTGATCCAGATTTCAAACCTGGGTCCTCTTTCTTCTCTTCCTCATAAAGAACACACATCACATCCAGACAAGTGGTGCTTAGAGACAAAGGGACCCATTTTTAATCTCAAAATAGCATAGCAAGGCTTCTCAAATGCCAATACCATGTAAGGTTTATTTTTGTAGGTGCCTCTTGTGTCTTTTGTAGACTTTTTTTTTTTGAGAGAGAGAGAGAGAGAGAGAGAAAAAGAGAAAGAAGGAGAAAAATCATGGATTATATCATTCTCAGTTAAAAAGGAGAAGAAGAGGTTGTCTGCTTTCCCTTCTTGCAAATATCAGTATGTGGCTTTGAATAAATAATGTGACCTTTGAATAAATTTTCTGACCTTGGAATTAATTAGCTAACCTTGGAATTAAATTCTGTACGTTCACGTTGCAAAATCTACTCAGAAGACAAAAAGAAAAGCCTTGGAAAATCAGAACCACCGCAAGAATGTCTCATTTTTCTTTTGAGGTCCCAGAAACCAAACTGAATAAGGAGATTTTCCCCAGAGCAAGAGTAACAAAGTACAACAGCCAAACTGTAACGCAATATGTTCACAAAATCGATAATCAACCCCAGGAACAAATCGCAATACGTCTGCCATCAAGTCCACAAGCAAACAACCCGTCACTGATTAAATATTCCTGGTATGGCAGACATAAACTGCATGATCCCATTTAATATGCAGAATATCTATTAACAGAGTTACACCATCGAGATCATTTTATCCAACATTCACTATGGTTACTAACTCCTTCTTAGTG